TGTTCCCCATTTTCTAATAATCTCTAAAGTGATTTATAATAATCCGTTAGATTATTTTGCTCAATATACGGTTTGTCACTATTAAGCAAAGTAAGAGCTAAAGGATGACAAATATGACTGAGATTTAGTTATTAAATTTGCAGGGGGTGGGTGGCTAAATTTTCAAAAGTAATGTTGGTCTTGTTTTGGTAGTCTGAACAGCCCAGGCATGTACTGAACTAATTTATTGGTATCCCATTGCCACTCAGCAACAGAAGTGGGAAATGCTTAGGAAGCACTTGATTTGAGATGAATTTCTAGAAACGAATCATTGTACAGTTGCCCAAGTCCTATTGGGTTTGGGATGGGTGATATTTATAAACTTGACCTGATATTTGTGTTGAGTCACTTCACCAAAATCAGAAATCCTGCCCCAAAATTTCATTTGTGAAAAAAACTCATTTTCCTTCATCTATGATGAAAAGATGCAATTCTGCTCTATCTGGTACACTGTTTGGCTTTGCTCTCTAAACATATGCTGCCTAAAACCTCTTTTATTGATTAAGTCCAGATGGACTGCAATTTCTCTGTTCCCCAGTAAACTGAAATTTTACAAACCTTCATTATTCCTCATTGAAATTCACTCCTTTAGAAGATTTCTAATTATATTGCCTAATAAAACTAAACCTTAGATGCTATTTGCATATTATATGAAGAAATCTCATACAACAAACTCATAGCAGACTCAATTAACATAATAGCTAATTATATATCTCATCAGCCTTGTGAGAGTTTCAGAATTCATGTTTCTTCTGCTGTAGCCTAGAGCAAAGGAGGGCTTTGAATTTTTCCTTCTAAATATTGACTTCTAACTAATATCAGAAATGATTTCAATGTTTTTAAGGATGAAAAGCTAGTGTTTAAACTGCATGCAACATTTTCTTCAATGCAATTAAAATTTCTACATTGACTAACTCTTGGCAATAGTATCAGATCAGTTCTGTGTAGCCAAATAGTGCAAACAGCAGCCCATTATCCCAAAGATGAAAATGTGGAAGTCTAAAAATGAGTTGAAATCTATTTCAGCTTAGCAGATTGGGCCTGGAATAGACAGGTCTCCCACAATGACAGTTCCCACCTATTATTGTGCCCTGGAACATAATTGTATTCCTGGTGATGCTTGTGATAGCTATCAACCAAGAAATTTACTACAAGATTAACAGAGACATAGTAATGAACAAACATGGGAAGCATCCTGTAATTGCCTGTTATTAAAGTGTTGTCATAGTGGTCTGTAATAAATTCACTGGTTGTAGTTTTCTGCAGGCTAAAAGTATAGATGAAAGTTGACAAGACTTCTCTCAATTGTAAAGTTGGGATCAAGGGATGCTTCTCATTTTGATTACCACTTGACCTGGACAGGCTCAGCAGAATGACTGTAAATAGATATAAAATTATATTTTTTAAACCACAAATTATATTTTACATACATGAACACTAAGCAAGAGTTGGAGATTTCACTTGAAAAGTTAGAATACTTAAGATTAAGGTTCATCTTGGGTATACTATGATTGCAATGAATGTTAGACCAGAGCCCAATTTTGGATTTAGATCATGTAATACATAGGTGCCTACATAAAAGCAACAGCAGATAAGAAAATGTTGTGCTGGGTAAAATGGCTTTCTCCCATTACAATGATGGCTGCCTTCTTCATTCATATTTTAATTAGGTTAGTGTCTCAGAGAAGGTCTTTTAAGGGTGGAGGCCCACGTCCCCCGTAACATTACAATAGGAGTTGCTTTATTGACAAGTACTATTCAAAATCTTCACAGTATAGAAAGAAAGACTTAGTCTTATTCCACTTGTCCAATACTTATTACTCTCTTAGTATCAAAACACTTTTCAATAAAAAAAAAAGAGGCTCAATTATTCAGTGAATATTGTTTAAATTTACTCAGGACAGTTCAGGAAAATACAATTCTTTGAACTCCATCATAAAAGTTCCCCTAAGTATATCTCCTCAGGGCTGAAAGACATGGACTATGGGCGTCATTACCTATATTTCCAAACTCGATGCTATTGACAATATGAAGTGAAATTATTTATGCAATTGATCAAACCAAAGGAAGTTATCTGGTGTTTTTTTTTTTCTTTCTTAGTTTCATTGAACAGTGAATAATTATGTAACTTCTCTTAAGGAAAAATTGGGCAGGAAGACCTTTGTGAATCATTTCTATGACGTTCTGTTGCACCAGCTGAATACACGGACAGTTTGCTGCTTTAAGAATTCTCCCATTAAGCTACAGTTAATATATCATAGTGGAACCTGTTAAAGATAATGTATTTTTTAAAAAAAGCCGTGAAATATCCTATTTTATTTAAAGATCCAGGTATCATGTTTGAAAACTAAGGAAAATGGATAAGTTATATGGGGGGTGAGGGGAGGTGTCCTTTGATAAATAATTGTGCACATACAGCAGATAAACAGAACTCTTTTAAAAACAAATTAGACTGACTTCCATGTATACTGTTGGAATGTGTGCTTTTCCACAAATTTTTAAAACCTTCCAGGTTCATCAGTTTAATAACCAAATAGGTATTTAAGTTAGTTTGTTTGGGAGGGGGAAATACTACTTCTGTTCAGCAAAAAAAATGTTTATAGTGGTTAGCAATGTTCTACTCTGATTTGATGTCTAAGTTTCTAGGAGATCTCTTTCAAAAGTCTTATACTTGTCTGCCATGTGATGTCATCCTATATATTTTCCCAAAGTTACTGCGTTGGCTTCTCTGATTGGATGTGAGGAGGAGAGGGGGAGAAAAGAGGGAGAGGAAGACAGAGGAGAAAAAAGGGGGGGTGGAGAGAGAGAAGGCGTGAGATTTTTTGAAAAGCATTTGGATTTAAAAAGGGATGGGATCTGCCTTCAGAACTTAAAAATAAAATACTGTCTTGCTGACAACCAGACAGTGAATGCTTAAGTATACTTAAAATATATCCACCAGGAAAATCCTTCTGTTGATGGGCTCCCTTTGTCAGCTAATTCAACTATTCAGCTCTGCATTTATAGCTTCTTCCTAATGATAAACATACCATGTTTTGATCCTTAGCTATTGTAATATGATTATTTAAACTATATTTCTACTTTGCCTATAAATTCTATTTTATTTGTAAATTTATGCATAATTTTTATCTTAATATGTTTTGTGCATAATAGGCCCTTAATATACCATTTATTGATGCCAAAGTGAAATTAACATACATAACATTTTACCTGTTGTGTGTACATTTTTTCCCCAAAGATAAAACTAAAGCATCCCTCGTGGTTGGAGTATCTATTTTAAAACCACTTACTTTAACTACTTGTATTATACACTGGTACTTATTTTCTTCACCCCAAACAATTCACATGAGTTTTTAGAATGTTTAATATTCCAGAGAATAAACCAAGTTTTCTGACAGATTCTTATTTTTAAAACTAAATATCAACAAGATTTAATGCATAAACCCACAATATGCTTCTAAACCAAAAAACCAAACCTCATGCTCCAAAACTTGAGGGAACTGCAAGTTCTCCGTATATGTGCTCGAAGAATGTAAGGGGAACAGAGGATAGTTCATCAGCAATGTTTGGCTTTTTGCATTCTTTTCCCGAGTTTCACTTTTTATTTTTAAAGGGTAGATTCCATATTGAGAATGGAGTTGGATGGGGGTTAGAGTGTGAATCATAATAGAATCTAGTTTTTAAAAAACACACACACACAAGCACACCACAAACAAAAACTTGGCTTCAATTTTAATTCTTGAGCTTTTATTTATCTGGTTTGTGGCCAGATGGTGGTGAAGCAAGGAAACCTTTGTGTAAATGGGGAGCACATGTGAAAGTGCTTCTGTAATGTAATCATTGAGACCGGAAGGGTTCATACTGTGTCTGAAAAGAGACAATAGAGACTGGATATATCAACATTGCAGAAATCGAGTTCATTTGTGATTCAGCCCCTTTCACTATGGTTGTCATGAAAACTTCCTACTTTGATCAGCAGAGGGTGGAGAGAGGAAAAAAAAAGTCTTCTAAAGGCCGAAGGATGTGGCACTGTTGTTTACTGTGCACTTGGCTTCAGTTCACGCCCCCTTCCGGAAGGAGCAACAGGGACCAGAGCATCGTGCACCTTGACCTGTCTAGACTGGAGAGAAGTTTTTTTGTCCCGGTTACCAAGGGCGAGGGGTGCTCTTTGACCCTTAGAGCACTAGCTGTTGAGACCCTCACTAAGTATGTAGGTAGTGTCTAAATGTTTCTACTGAATTCTTGCTGAATTCTGAAGGGAAAGGAACGGACAAAGAGATGGACCAGCTGTTCTAAAATAAAGCTGAAATAGTAGAACCTTGGAGAAGTTAAATTGCGTAAGCCATTATTTTTCTTTTCTTTCTCCCCCTCCCTCCCCAACCGCAACCCCAACCCCTCTTGCAAAACCTCCTGGGAAGGATTAAACAGCTGCATCAGAACTGATGAACAGCTAGCTAGCTGCAAGGCAGGACCGAGGGAGAGCTCAGACTATAGGTCTTCTTAGAGTTCTTCTTGGAACTCTGCTTAAGCTAAAACAGCAAAGAATTTGTAACAAGAAAACTCTTGTCATCATAGAGAAACAAAATATCAGTTAGAATTTGTGGGCTTAGTTTTGTAATCTTCTCGTTGTGTGCTATGTACATATAATATACATAAATAGGTATGAATATACATATAAATATATATAATGTTTTTTAAATTGAATGTAGAGAATTCTGTGAGATTTCAAATGTGTGCAGGGTTTTTTTTTTCTTTTTTTTTAAGCAAAATGCGTAAGCAAGAGCTAACCTTGTAAATTATGTATGTAATTTTTGTGAGTAGTTAAGTAGACTTAGAGATTAATGCATGGTTGTGTGCGGAGTTTATGTATGTCAGTTTCCTCATGCAATCTGACTTCCAAAGGTCTCTTGAGTAATATTAAAATTAAGAAATCCTTCCCCCGCCTTTTTTTTAAATGATAGATTCCCTTAGCCCAGTCAGAGGCATTCTTAACAGAAGTTTTGGAGACCGTATGTGAGAGAATGAATGACTACAAACTTGAAGACAATTCAGAAAACGGTGAAAGGAAGTTCAAGAGATTTGCTCCAAGGAAAGGGGACAAAATATACAAAGAATTTAAACGATTCTATTTTTATTCGGATGCTTACAGACCTTTGAAATTTGCGGTAAGCGATCCTCTTAAAAGTCCAGATTGGGCTTTCCATGGAAATAGTGCTGGTTCATGCTTTTTACTGATGAATCTCAAGACACTTCGCAGCGTGGTAGGGTAGTGAGCTTCTAATAGCACTGAGCAGAAATGCCAGAGATTGAGCCACTCATTGACTTAATTTGTCATTCTACTGCCTTTTCAAAGTAATATAGTAATTCAATTTGAAGCATGCTTTATGAGAAACCCAAGGGGAATTTCAGGTCGTATGCTAACTAAAAGTATTATTCACAAATTAAGTAGTTTGGACTTTGCTTTCCCCAAAACTGAAAGTACTCAAAATTGTTTGATTCATTTGGAGGAATGATTCCAGGCACTGGTTGTTGCCAAGACAGTCTCCTTACATGTTTTCACATAAGAAATCAGGGCCTATTCTTTCTCAGTTAAAATCGAAATTAATACTAATGTCATTTTCAAATATTTCTAGCCAAATTATGAGTGGAGGAGTATGGGGTGTCATTAATTTTACCGAAGGCCTTTCAGAATGAAGAGAAATTTCTACTGAATTAATTCAAATATTCTGGCATAGAATTCAGTTAAACAAAGGTCTAAGTACTATAGTTGGCTGTATGCCAATTTCTTCTTCCAATAATGTTTATTTTATGAGAATGCCACCCTTTCTGGTTTGCAAAAATGTGCCTTGCAAAATATGTATTAATATGTTTCTCTGGCCTTAACACTGTTGAAACAAAGTGATGGAGAAGTCAAGACTGAAATGTTTATTTGGTTCTCTCATTGGCAAAATTCTCAGATTTGCTGAAACCCTGAAATGAAGGCCTTACGGGTACCCTTGACTTAATTTTAATTAAAAAGTAAAGGTAATACTTCAGTGCTAAAAGTACTCTGGGAATATGAATAGAAATGAATGGTTTTATGTTTTACCTTATAAAATAAACTTATTTATAATTAGTTTTTAAATCATTTCCCCAAAATGCCATTATTTCTTGGTTTTTCGAACAGTAAAAAGGAAATTTTGAGTAAGATTATAGCAAACTTTAGTGAAGCACATTCCTGGTTCCTGGAAGTGGAGACCAAAAGAAAAAAAATGTGCTTCTGGACTTCAGAGATATGCTGCAGTTAGACTGCAGGCTAGTCAAATACATGAAGCAAGTGTGAGCCCCATCTCTCCCTGTTATGAAATGTCAGGCTTCTCCCCACTTCCCCAGTGGCAAATTTACAGTTAGTTTTTTTAAAAAACAGGGTGGAAAGAAACTTCCATAAGTAACTATCAAGCAGGGTATTCACAGTGAAATTGACGATGTGTTTGTTTGGATTGGTAAGGGATTATAATTGTCTTCACATTATAGAAAACCACAAAGTGGATTACTATGTTAAATTTGAAGAAGCATTTTGACCAAAAAGCTACTTTTTTAAAGCATGGTGAGTTTTATAAAGAAAAATTATAATTATAAATGGCTAGTTTCAGCTCCCTTAATGAGCTATCAATTTAAAGATGAGAAACAAAATTAAATAATAAGAAATAAACTCCCTTCCCTCTCTCTCTCCAAACCCTATAGTTATACCATCATAGGAATGTGTAATTAACATTCTTGAAAGTGTGCTAACCCAATTGATCTACTAGACAGAAAAGGGTAGCACCAAAAAAAGGAGAGGAAGAAGAGTATCCTGATAATATGGGTTTATAGCCTTGTCTAATGAAAATTTTACCAAGTCTTTTCTAACAAGGAGCTTTGTATGTATGTGTGTGTATACATATATGTATATAATGTGTGTACACGTGTTTTTATTATATTTTTACAGTGTGAAACTATAATAGAAAAATATGAAGATGAAATATTCTCACTTGTCGCCCAGGAGGCAAACCATCTAGCTGACAAGTTGTGCAGTGAAAAATCAGGTACTGTGTCTGATGTAACATGCTTTCTTTCTCTCTCTCTCTCTCTCTCTCTCTCTCTCTCTCTCTCTCTCTCTCTCACCATTTCAGGTTGTTGTTGTTTTCTTCAAACTTAGTCTACTACTTTGGTGCAACTTTTTGATTTTGGACCTCTTTTGTAATTAAATCAGGAATGCCACCATGTGAATTTAAAAAAAAACAAACAAAACAAAACCCAAACCCACGAAGGCTGTTAAGGTATCTCAACATGGTTGCTTATTTCACTTATTTTTTAGCCACATATTTGTTTTCACCAGGATCTTAACACTCAAAATATCACCTAGCACCTTCTCTTTTAGTGTTAGCCAAAAATCTCAGGCATGATTTTTTCCCCCTTTCTTTTTAGAAACTGGTTTCCATTCAGGAAAAGAGAATCTCTCTGTGCTTGTCTCCCAGTTGTCGAAGATTTATGACGTTAGTGCTAGCCAGTTGCTGCATCAGTAATGAGATGTAACCCAAAACTATTAAGAACTTTGAAAGTTTTTTGTTGTTGTTTATTTGCCAGTGAGAGCCTTTTTGTGTGTGTGTCTTTTTTTTATTTTAAGGAAATCTGCTTCAAAACATTTTTGCTTGAACAAAAAAAAGTTCCTGAAACACATACCTGAAACAGTTCTTGAAACATATATTAATCTGAAAGCAGAAAAAAATCCCAAATATCTAATTTGCTATATAGAAAGTTGATACCCATATCTGTTCTATGGATTTTATAATATGTAAATTGTGTATATATATATATATATATATATATGTAAAATGACAGTACATAATTTTTATTCCTTTCTATACTTTAATAAGAATAGAGTCTAACTTGGACCTTCTTTTTTTGGAAAGTTTTTTTTTATTAATTACAATGATAGAATATGCACAAAGCCATTAATGATTTTAAATCAATGGCTGCAATAGTAGTATGCCCCACTGGAAGTTCAAAATACCATTTAACAGATTGTTCATGCTAAAATCTGATGAACCTGAAGCAAAAGAGCTAAAAAGTTGTAAACAGATGGTTCATTTATATAACTTTCCTCCAATATTGGTTACAAATATCTGTCTACTAAAGCATAAAACCTTATGATCTAAAATTACAGTAAAATAGACTAGAAGTCTCAACTTGGTGGATATTTCAGGATTTCCCTCCCCTCCCCCCATGCAAATAGCTTGGTTGTTTTCTTTTAGAATCCAGTTGGGAGTGGGGGTTGAGGGGAGGGGAGTGATGAAGCCAGAACTATTTGGCAATTTGGAATTTTTGTGACTACTTTGAGATAAGTTATGTAGTGACAGCAGAAATTAGCATCAATAACTTTGTGCCACAATCTTTGCTAATGATGGATGGCTTTTTTTTTTTTAAAGAAAAGTTTTCCAAAGAGTTCAAAGACCTACTTATCCAGGAATGAACAAAATATTCATGAATGATCTGTGGCACACTTGTTTGCCTGTATTCTTCTGCTTATTACAGTATTTGTATTTTACATAACTTCATAATATAAATATTCTGCTATATCTACACCTTATCTCATGATATAGAAGGGATTGGGAAAGTTTCATGAAATGCTTAGAGTGACCATCTAACAAGAAGGAATGGAGGAGAAAGTACCTCTTTGAAGTTACTTTTGTTGGGTTTAAAAATGTTTCATCTTTTCCCTTTCACATCATGTATGTACACATATGTGTAAATATATATAGTCATAGATACAACTGAAAGAATTAAATGCAACTAAGAAAGTAACATTTTGATCAGTAAACTTCTGAAATCATTGCTATTTTAGAAGATTCAAATAAAAGGTATTCAGATAGACTATCCTTAATAGCATTTGATAAATAGTTAAGTTTACTCCAATCAGCATTTGCCGTGCCAAACATAGCTATGACTATGTAGAAGTATGAGTGCTAGTAAAGACACTGAAAGTTAACCAATCAAAATGCAAGATAGCATACTAGTGCTATACCTGCCAATATGCTTCTGGGTTTTTCTAGGTATGTTTCTGTATGAATATGAGTCATCTTGATAAAAATAAAGGCAGAATAAATTATAAATTACACCTACGTAGAGATCATAATGCTCAAATAAAAGCCCCTCCACCTTTTAAAGTGATTGAAGGTTAATCATCTATGGTGTGCTGTCAGTGATATTTTTTAAAATCCAAAAATTATTTTTTGGGGGAAGAAGGGTGAATACCTAAAAAGCATAATAAAAACAAAACACAACAATGATGGGCATAGCAGAAAATAATAGCTAATAGACTGTCTTCAGCATTTCTGACTGATTTCAAAAATGGTCCTAGAACATAGGAAAGGTGTCCTCCTTTGAAAAAATCTAACTGCATTCAAATTATTACTTAAAGATCTATACACCTTAATTTATCTGATAGATAATACTATTATAGCAATACTCTATTTTTTACAAATACATCCCATCAACTTCTTTTGTCATTATTGTATATTCTTAATGGTACAGTTTCCAAATTATGGCTATTTTCCAAATAGGTCATTATGTAAACATGTGTTTCCACATGCACAAAGGCATACTTTTATGTGTATGAAACTGAATCAATCATCAAATATCTACTTTGAACACCTACTATGTGTTTAGAGCACTGTCCTAGGAGCTATTAAAATGTACATCTGTTAGTCTTTTGAAGATTAATTATAGAAACAAAAGAATGCTATTTTTAAAAAAATTTTACATTAAAATTGATAAAGTAGTGACTTTGCATATCTGTAGATTTTGAATTTTGACCTTCATATAGAAGAGTCTTGGGAAAGTGTCTCATTTCACCTGACTTTTGATAAACATAAACACCTGTCAGCAAAGATAAGGCTCATATGAAGCTATTACAATTATATCTCCTATTAATAAGGAGAAAAGAGGAAATGAACCTTATGTCAACTTTGGGTCAGGAGTAGCATTTCTAGGAGGTGTATATAATAATTTTGCCATTGTTTTCAAATGTTGTTAAGGGCTTGTGCTTAGATCTGAATTTGTTGTTGCTATCCTTCCAATCAACAGGAAAAGATATTCAATACAATTTGATCTTGGGCATGAGATAGAAGATCAGGGGGTTGTTTCTCATTAGACAAATTTTTCCTAGTTAAAGCTGAAGAATGAACTTACTGAGTTTGCTTCACAAAATTATTGGGTGGGCACAAAACCCTATGCTCTTTGAATAGATATTTTGCGGGTCAGAAGTCAATAATTTGCAGGGTAGGTAACCCTAAAACATAGTCAAGGTGAAAGATTCTCCTAATAATTTCTGATTGATCTAAAAAGGATAAAAAGTTATCATTTAAAGCAGGCTGAGGTAGGAAACAAACCCTAGTTCATAAATCTGAAAGGCTTATGTACACTGAGTTGTCAGTATACATTGTAAATATACATGTATGTATGTATGTATATATATATATTTATATATATACATATATATAAAACACTCTTAAAACATATACTTCTAATAATTTATCCTATATCTTTAAAACCTCAAGTATAAAAGAATTAAAAACACCATCACTTTCCCCCCAAAAAAGGCTAAATGACCAGGTAGATTTTTTTTTCATTAATCAATTGAAAAGACAGAACACAGAATGCATATTCCAAGATGTATATTAAAGTATTTAAATAAAAATACACTTTGGTATTCACTCCCTTCAACCTCCAACTGGTTTTGCCTTTAATATCTAGCATAGGAAAGAACTCACTTCAGCATGCAAAGGCTGGGTTTAAACTATTTAAACCTAAAACACAGACCTAGAATTGTTGGTCAGGAACAGTCTAAACATCATTGGCACCAACAGAGTTGAAATGAAGAATGGATGTGGTACCTAGGTGTCCATCCCATCTTGATCACTGCTTCTTTGATGAAATGATAAACATGGTACCTTTTAGTGTGGCAAGTGGTAAACCTATGTCAGGGAAGATTTTGCTTAACCGTGCTTCCAAAATTATGTCTAGCTAACTGAACTTGACAGTAATGTAATTTAACTTTTCTTTTTCCAGATATTTGTGATGCTTCTCCTACTAGTCACACTGAGCTTTAAGATGACCGAGCTACTAGTTATAAAGAGAGTAAGGTGATAATCTTTCCCCTCCCCCAAAAGTCAATGCCTATGTCTCTGTCCTTCATGCCTTTCATCACCACGATCAGTACTCATGCCTCTGCCTTAAGTGTGTGCTAAGTTCTTTGATGGTTAAAATTGAGCAAAAAGATTTTAAATGAAAAACATAGTGATGGACTCATTCCTCTGAATAGTTTCTGAAGGTAAAGTTATAGAGTCCATCCATGTCAATTCTCTTGCTTTTGATAATGTGAGACTTGGTAGAAAAATACAGTTTTCTTGGAGGGTTGTGGGAGGAAGATTTCCTATAAACACAAATAAGAATTTAATAAATGTTAGCAAATTATGCACTCTGAATAGGTGCCTTTTGGTTAGAGAATTTTACTCAAACAGCTGATTGGAAATGTAAAGTCAAGCAATAATTACTGGCAAGTAGTTTCTTAGCCTTTCTAGCTCAGGGTTAATATTGTCTACCCTGATTTTCATAAGGGATAGATTTCAGTAACATAATTACCTTAAGCTTGTAAACTTAAAAAAAAAAGGATAGAAAAAAAGAAAAAAAGGATAGAACAAATCTGAAGTTCATCATTTTTGTTTAGAATCATAATGGGATGTGGTTTTTACTGTAAGTTTTAAAGTATCAAAATCTAAATTCAGATGACCTAAAAAGTTTATTTCTTGCTAATTACAGAATATACTCTTAAAAGATCCCATCAATAGAGATGCTTTGTTTTACTGATGACTATCTTGCTTAGGTAAAATTGTTATTATTAGCATACAGTGAAAATTATTTGTGAAACTAATTGTCCAGTAGTTATTATTATTATTATTATCATTATTGGAAAGGGAGGAACAAGACTTTGTTAGAGTAGAAGATATAACTTTCAACCATAATTAGCACGGTGCCTTCAATTAAGTGCAACAAATATTTATTACTCCTTGCACATAGTAAATGCTTAATAAGTGCTTCTTGAATGAATAATAAAAATCTAATTATTGGACTGTTATCTATTTCTATGTAATTTCTATCCAATGGAATTCTACTTTATTCAACATCTGCACATCTTCTTCTCTCATTGTAAAAGAGAAATGCTCATTGATGTCACTGAGAATGACTATAGACTATGCCCAATAGGGCAGAGGGTAAAACTATTTGTCTGTATAAAAAGAAACTTCACATATAACAAACTTATGTAGAAAAAACACATTTCTTTGGTCATGTAATTGGGTCACAGGCAAAAAAACTTTTCAAGTTTAGGAAAATGCATAAAGAGTTTTCATTTGTTTTCATTATTTTTTTTGTGTGTAGACACTGTGCCCCCAAACAGGCTTGTCAGTCTTAATATGGTTTTAGTTTTTAAAATAGAGAGATGCAAGTCTTATTTCAAAGTATTGGCATATTTCTTCACAAATCATAATAAGTGAGTATACTATAATTTGTCTAAACTCCTATACCTAGACTACAGTAGATATAAAATAAAAACAGGATTAATAAATAATTATCACCTTTTTCAGTAAGCAGACTAAACTGTAACTTGTCTTTTGTATCATCTTAAATCTACATAGAAACATGTCCATTTAAAATTTAATTAGCATCTGAAGTGTTGTCATCAGCATTGTCCTGACTTGAATTTTTTTAGTGAATGCTCTGGATAGGAATACAAACTTGTAAAACAGTTTACCAATGAATTACCTGGTAATTATCTGGAAAGATGGTACAAATAAAAGAGTACTTACTTACTAGCTTTATATTAAAATAACATTTTTAACAAATGGTTTCCAGTCCACTCCGAAATTTCTATTAAAAATATTAACCTGTTCCAAATCACAAACAAGTTTCCAGAATATTTTTCCCACCCTGATTGATAAACTCTAACAATTCTTCAACCAGAATTTTTTCAAGCTGGAAAATTCTAAATTTTGTCCATGTGTTCACCAGATGGAAGCAGGTTTCCCCTAGACTAACTAATGTCCTCCTTATACTGATGCTACTGCTTCTGTTTTGAATGGAGATGATAGATGTATTTTACTACATAGCTACTATATACTGCCTTGTTAAGGTTTTTTTTTCCTACTTGCACATTATTCATGAATTTCTCAGTGAAAGTGGTTCAATATCTTGCAAGGGTTTTGGCATCTTTGTGTCTCGAGTAATTGGTATTGCTTATTTCCTTTGTATAAAAATTTTGAAGATCATTTTGGGTAATTTGCAAGATTTTTTTTTAAGTTTTGTTTAACTCATTGAAAAAATGCTTAAATCGTTCATTAAAAAAAAGTTGTGCCATACAAAAACCAATGTGTTTCTTATGAATCCAAGTTTCACTCTTCTTGGCCACTATGACATCTCTAGACTTTTGCTAATAAATCATAATAGAGAATTGTAGAAGACCATCTTAATTGCCCTTGTAACTACTTTTCCATTTCTTAATGGATACATACTCACCAAAAACTGGGTTCTCAAGGTGGGAGGAAAGCCGAACAAAACAAATGAGAAAATAATCCAATTTTATTAAAATAAAAAATCTTTTTTATTTAAATAAAAGTTCCAGGAAAATATGAGAATAATGCAGTTCTTATTAAATGATGGGAGATAGAACTGTTTGGGGACCCATAGTATGAAATTATACTTTTTATGATATGATTTATTTTGGTCCCCATGGAAGTTTCATGTGAACCTCTTCTCATAAAATAAAGACCAAATTGGCTGAGATAAACTGATTATTTTTTTGTTATATGGATTACTGTTTGCTAAGAATAAGCCAAGAACACTGAATTCATTTCACTTAGGAGCAGAGAGTGGAATTGAGTCAAAATCCCAAATGGGAAAGATCAATACTTTATTTACTAAGACAACTCCCCTACCCACCAAAAAGGGTCAATAACTGGTCATATTTTTTAATTCCTATTTCTCTGCTTAGGTTGACATTTATTGTGTCATATATGTGGATATATGCATATATCATATATACATAGGCATATACACATACGTACACATACATACAAACATAATTGTACATGCAATAGCTTAATACAAATATAGTTTTAGACGTTGCATATTAATTTTCAAAGTTCCAGTTTGTTATTATTGACCCTGAAAATAAGACATTAATTGTTATAGTATTATGGGCTGTGGAGAGTTTGTTGTAAAAAGGGACCTAAGCCAGATTTGGTATCTTCAACTGTACAGTATTTTTATTGGATAGTTTCCTACATAGAGCTGTATCATATTTTTTTTTCTGATTTTTTGTCTGTACATAATTAAGTTGTTAATTGTCATTCACTAGGTAATTGTGAAACCAATCACCCTTAGATTATTTGCTACAGAATGAGGAACTAAGTGGAAGACCATTTGCTAAAATGAAATTGGAGTGCTAAGATGATAAAAAAAATTCCATATTCTTAGTTGGACCTAGAAAAGATAGAATAAATGGTATCATCCTCCTGAAGCTTTAGTAATCTCCTTCTTCTCCATTCCCCCCCCCAACAAAATTATACTTCTTTAAAAAGGAAGAATTCATTTTTTTTTTACATATTCTTCAAGTTTTTAATTACATGAAGGATAGGGCTGAATATATTTAACAACTTGTTGGTCTGTTTTCCATTTCTAGGATAGATGATAGATAGATAGATAGATAGATTTAATATTATATCTATAATATGTAATTATATATCTAAAAAGGCAGAAGGTAGGCGCTTTCAGTAAGGAAAATTCACAGGGGTAGCCCAAGGCAAATCAAGGTTTGCTACCCTTCTAATATTTTCAGGGATGCTAGAACATAGAGAAATATGATTGAGAACACTTTAATTACCTAAGCATTGTGTCTGCTTAAAGACAGAGCATTTGGAAATAGGTTCATTTGCCTAGGAACAAAACAAAAAGCCCTTAGTAGTCATATGTTGATGGTTTTGAAGAGTATCTCTGGACTTTTAAGCAAATAAAAGACAAGAAAAAAATTTTTTAAGAAACCTGTAGCAAAAATGTAAGCATATGTCACTGAATCTTATAAAAAAAGAATGAGAAATTGGAATTTCACCAGATTCCTTCAGATTATGCCATTGAACTTCCTTATGTAGTTTATTGCTATGGCATACAGATTCTAGCCAACCATAGGATAAATAGTAAAATAACAATATGAAAAATAGCAAGTGCACAGAGTAGCAGAAGGTTCTAACAGTTAGCTTGTTTAGGCAGATGTCGGCCCTGTTCCCCAACACTAGCATCATAAAGGAGTGTTACTGTAGTTGGAAAATTGGCTGATCTCAAATGTGATTCTTCTGAAGGAGCACACAGTCTTCTATTTTCAAGATGATAAAGATTCTGGTAACTTCCTTCTCCTTTTGGGAATGTTAATAAACCCGCATCCAAGTTGTTTAACAGAACACGGGGAGCCAAATGTCAGCTAATTAAGCATGGCTGAGACCCAGGAAAATCTTGTGAATGAGAAGTTAAAATATTAATATCGATTTCAAACTTTATGAAAAGCTAGCATGGCAACTGAAGAGTTAGAATGTACTTCTGCCATTTTCTATTAGCTGTTAACCTCACAGCAACATTCTGAACAATCGGGAATTTCCCTACATCGTATCCAATATCAACCTGTAAAGAATGATAGTAACCATTGCGGTGACATGGGCATTAACAAAAAGAGAGACAAGGTTTCAATCAGGTGATTCTCATTATCTGCCAGGAAGAAATCTTTATTGACTATGTTCTTCCTCAAATGGTACTGATTAATCTTCTTTATATGCTTATGATCTACAGAAGAAAGCAAAAGCCTTCCCCAAAATAGACTTCAATATTCATTCAAGTAGACCCAGTTAAAAGGAATATGCTTGTAAATGATGGGTCAAAATGGAGTAAGGTCTGGTATAATCTCAGATCTAATAACTTTTATTATTAAGTATATTAGACCTGTTCTTATCTGCATTTGGAAATGTACCCTTGAGTAACATGTACAGTGGGAAAATGATGCCCCTTTCATTTGGAAGTCATGACCAAATGGAAATATTGAAGATTGTC